TGTTCAGGCATAAGGGTGTCCATATGTGCTCTTGGCACCAGGACACCCTAGGCCGCAGTTCGACGATCGACTTTGTCATCGTCTCATCTGATCTTCGGCCGCATGTCTTGGACACTCGGGTGAAGAGAGGGGCGGAGCTGTCCACTGATCACTACCTGGTGGTGAGTTGGCTCCGATGGTTGGGGAGGATGCCAGTCAGACCTGGCAGACCCAAACGTATTGTGAGCGTTTGCTGGGAACGTCTGGCAGAGTCTCCTGTGAGACGGAGTTTTAACTCCCACCTCCGGGAGAACTTCGAACATGTTCCGAGGGAGGTGGGGGACATTGAGTCCGAGTGGACCATGTTTCGTGCCTCTATTGTCAAGGCGGCTTACCGGAGCTGCGGCCGCAAGGTTGTCGGTGCCTGTCGCGGCGGCAACCCTCGAACCCGATGGTGGACACCGTCGGTGAGGGATGCTGTCAGGCTGAAGAAGGAGTCCTATCGGGTCTTTTTGGCCTGTGGGACCCCGGAAGCAGCTTACTGGCAGTCCAAGCGACATGCGGCTCGGGTGGTCGCTGAGGCAAAAACTCGGGCATGGGAGGAGTTAGGAGAGGCCATGGAGAATGACTTCCGCATGGCTTCGAGGCGATTCTGGTCCACCATCCGGCGTCTCGGGGGGGGGGGGGGAGCGGTACGCCACCAACACTGTTTATAGTGGGAGTGGTGTGCTGCTGACCTCAACTCGGGATGTTGTGGGTCAGTGGGTGGAATACTTTGAAGACCTCCTCGATCCCACCGGCACGTCTTCCACTGAGGAAGCAGAGCCTGGGGACTCTGGGTCGGGCCCTCCAATCTCTGGTGCTGAGGTCACCGAGGTGGTTAAAAAGCTCCTCTGTGTCAGGGCCCCAAGGGTGGATGAGATTCGCCCGGAGTTCCTTAAGGCTCTGGATGCTGTAAGGTTGTGTTGGCTTAAGCGACTCTGCAATATTGCGTGGACATAGGGGGAAGTTCCCCTGGATTGGCAGACTGGGGTGGTGGTCCCCCTATTCAAAAAGGGGGACCGTAGAGTGTGTTCCAACTACAGGGGAATCACGCTCTTAAGCCTCCCTGGTAAGGTCTACTCGGGGGTTCTGGAGAGGAGGGTCCGTCGAATAGTCGAACCTCGGATTCAGGAGGAGCAGTGTGGTTTTCGTCCTGGCCGTGGAACACTGGACCAGCTCTACACTCTCAGCAGGATCCTGGAGGGTGCATGGGAGTTTGTCCAACCGGTCTACATGTGCTTTGTGGACTTGGAGAAGGCGTTCGACCGCGTCCCTCGGGGAACCCTGTGGGGGGTACTCTGGGAGTATGGGGTACCGGGCCCTTTGATACGGGCTGTTTGGTCCCTGTATGACCGGTGTCAGAGCCTGGTCCGCATCGCCGACAGTAAGTCGGGCTTGTTCCCGGTGAGAGTTGGACTCCGCCAAGGTTGCCCTTTGTCACCGATTCTGTTCATAACTTTTATGGACAGAATTTCTAGGCGCAGCCAAGGTGTTGAGGGGATCTGTTTTGGTGGCCTTAGGATTGCGTCTCTGCTTTTTGCAGATGATGTGGTCTTATTGGCTTCATCAGATCATGATCTACAGCCTTCGCTGGAGCGGTTCACAGCTGAATGCGACGCGGCCGGGATGAAGATCAGTTCCTCCAAATCCGAGGCCATGGTCTTGAGCCGGAAAAGGGTAGAGTGTCCTCTCCGGGTCAGGGAGGAGGTCCTACCCCAAGTGGAGGAGTTTAAGTATCTTGGGGTCTTGTTCATGAATGAGGGAAAAATGGAGCGTGAGATCGATAGGCGGATAGGTGCAGTGAAGCAGGCGCTGTACAGGTCTGTCGTGGTGAAGAGAGAGCTGAGTCAAAAGGCGAAGCTCTCAATTTACCGATCGATCTACGTTCCTTCCCTCATCTATGGTCACGAGCTTTGGGTTGTGACCGAAAGAATGAGATCTCGGATACAAGCGGCCGAAATGAGTTTTCTCCGCAGGGTGTCTGGGCTCTCCCTTAGAGATAGGGTGAGAAGCTCGATCATCCGGAAGAGACTCAGAGTAGAGCCGCTGCTTCTCCATGTCGAGAGGAGCCAGTTGAGGTGGCTTGGGCATCTGTTTAGGATGCCTTGTGGACGCCTCCCTGGTGAGGTGTTCCGGACACGTCCCACCGGAAGGAGGCCCAGAGGATGACCCAGGACACGCTGGAGGGACTATGTTTCTCGGCTGGCCTGGGAACGCCTCGAGATTCCCCCGGAAGAGCTGGCCCAAGTGGCTGGGGAGAGGGAAGTCTGGGCCTCCCTACTTAGGCTGCTACCCCCGCGACCCGACCCCGGATAAGCGGAAGAAAATGGATGGATGGATGGATGGATATTTTTTTGAATCAGTCTAGAGGATCTGACATAACTTTGTTAGACTTTCCTGATATACTGAAATGTATTTCTGAAATGCAGGTCCATACTCCGTGTAAACAAAGCATTTAGCCGAGTCCACTGGAAGCTCATCTTCATACCTTACTTAACAAACATGAGTGTACATATGTACCAATTCTTCCAAATTGTCAGATTTTTCCATCCCAAACAATTCGTTTTCCATTTCTGAACTATTTTCAGTCACTTTTTGTAGGTAAACAAACACATGTAGTAGTTCCATGTCATTCACAAATTTTGCATACGCATTCTAAAAATTGCGACACATTGATAAGAGAAAAAAGGTATTCTGCTTCTTGTTTTTTATTTCATTTATCTCTTTACAGGGCTTTATGACATTGCAACACGTATCTTTAAAATTTGGATGTACTTGCTCAGCAATTTGAAGATGATTGGTTTAGTTTGATACAGCTTTAAGAAACTTTTTGAAGTACTGTTCATTAGTGTTTACTTGGCTCTGTCTGGGAGTGTTGGGTAAAGATTCTCAGCATGCAGCTGCTTGTATTTGTACCCCAAAGCAAAGTTTGGTCAGATTCACTGATCTGACTTCAGCAGCTTGTGAACACAAGAGGACATCATCTTCAAAACCATATCAATGCTCACATTTTGTGGAACTTGAGGGACTTTCCAGCTTCTTTCAGCACCTCAGCCCAAGTTCAACTTCCTTTGTGGCAGGTCACGTCATGAACAGGAAACAAAATACTTTCCTGTCTTTACACAGTTTCACTGAAAACCCAGACATGTTAGTGAAAAATTCACCACAAACTAAAAAAAAAAAGCCAATAAAACTACTATTGACATATTAATAAAGTTACAAAAAAGAGCAATTAGACTTATGAATAAAGTGGGATATTGTGAACCAAACTAATAAACTCTTTATTCAAAGTAATACTTTAAAATTTAATGACATTGTTTATATAAAAATACTGGAAATAATGCATGAAGCACTGAATAAAAGTCTTCCTTCTGAAATTCAGAAATCATTTAAGTTAAGAGAGAGTAAATATAATTTACGAGGTTTGTTAATATTTGAGCAAGCTAAAGAGAAAAGTAAAGTAAAATCTAGATGTATTTCAGGTATCAGTGTGAAACTGTGGAATGAACTGAATGATGATTTCAAATTATATGTTTTTTTGGTGAGCTTTAAAAGAGCCTTAAAATGTAAAATTATAAAAGCTTATGGAGATGTTGTGTAGATGTATTGTGTAACCATGTATGCATGTAATGTGAGTATGTGTATGTATTATACATGCATATTTAAATATCTGGTAAATATATGTGTACTTATGTATATATGTGGACAGTAGATATTTGTCATTATGTAGACTGCTGAGTTTATGAACAGGGTAGGCAAGTATAAGCCTTGGCTTCAGCCTATTCCTTTTTTGGTAAATAATTGATTTACCATTTTATATTGTTTTCCTTTTTTTGTAATGTTTTTAATTTACCAAAATAAAGTTGAGAACTTTGGTGATGCAATTTATGTTTAACAAAAATCCAGAACATAAACATAACCTCTAAACCCTACAAAAGTGGAATGGTGAGGTAAGATTAGACAGAATAGTTAACAACATCAAACATTTTTATAAAAAGAACTTATCCCAAAGATAATTGGATTCTGAAAAACACATTTTCCTTTATACACTAGGCCTGTCGCGATAAACGATAAATCAATTAATCGCATGAGAAATGAAAATTATCGACCTCATTTTCATTTATTGGCTTTATTGTTTCTTCGTGTCTCTCTCTTTCTACTGAAGACACTGGATGAAAAAAGGGTTAAACTCAGGTGCTCTTCACTGTCCCTCCCTTTCTCTTTAAAATCCATTTTAACCGTCCAAAATCATGTTTTTGGGTCGTTAAAAGCAGCTGAGAAGCTAAGCTAACCGGCCGACCTTTTTGTCAAAGCTCCAAAATTCATGATTTAAACCCATGCCTTTGTGTAAAAAGTTGTTTTTCTCTGCAAAAAGAAGCTGAGAACTTGTTTACTGATTTTTTTTATTGAAAGCTTTGTGACACATGCTATGCTAAAGAGCTCGAACCAATTCGAGCATCCACTATTTTGAGAACCGAAAAACAGGAACAAGAAACAGCCCATGTCACGTCAAGGGTCCTCCCTCCCATTTTTCTTAGAGACACACTTCTCGCTCCTCACTATCTCATCATTTGGTTCAAATAGTTTTATATTGCCATCTGGTGGTCAAAAAATGTACTACACACAAAAATAAACAACAATTCTTCTTAAATTTGACAATAATTACTAATTATTGTCAAATTTCAAACAATATTATCGTTTATTACAAGAATTTTTGAGACAATTAGTCGCCCAGCAAAATTTGTTATTGTGACAGGCCTATTATAGACTTTACAGAACTAGATGCAACTATATTATTTTAAATATATTGGTGCCATATTTTGCAGCATTTGATTCTGATAACATCTTGTTTCTTTTTGCAGAAGACACAACACATGCCAGGAGAGTGTTTGACAATTTGCAGACACCGCATCTCACACTGAGTTTCAGTTTCATCTTAATTTTCCAAACCCCTCACTGACTGTGACCGACATCCCACCATGCCCATCGTTGTGTTCCCTACCTCCCAGCTGCTATGGGTGCGGGTCGCTGCTGTGTTGTTCACCTGCGTCACATTCAGCGTGGAGGCGCACGGGGCTGGGCTGACCCACGTAGGCATGGCAGACTGGTGCATCTTCTGCTGGGTGTTCAGCTTTGCCTGTTCCCTACTGGTTCTGCTGGTGGAACAGTGCAGCCTCCAGGCTCGGATCCCTGTCTCCTGGACCAACTTTCCCATCACCATCGCCAGCTATGCCGCCCTCCTCTGCTTCTCAGCTTCTATCATCTTCCCGGTGTATTTCCTCAAGAACCAGACACTGCCCTACGAGGTCCGTGACCACCGGATTGCCTCCACAGTCTTCTCTTGCCTGGCAACAGTGGCCTACATGTGGGAGGTGAGCCTGACCAAAGCCCGGCCAGGAGAGGTGGCTGGTTACATGGCTACAGCTCCAGGTTTGATGAAGGTCTGCCAGACCTTTGTGGCCTGCATTATCTTCATTCTGGTCAGCAATCTGGTGTCTTATAACCAGCACGCAGCCTTGAAGTGGTGCTTGGCGGTGTACTGCATCTGTTTCATCCTTTCCATGGCCATAGTGGTGCTGTGTGTGGGAGAGTTCACCAACTGCCTCCCCATCCCATTCTCCAAGTTTCTGTCAGCCTACGGGCTCCTGGCGGTCATCATGTATCTGACGGCCACTATAGTTTGGCCTGTGTTCCAGTTCAGCAAAACGTACCAGGGCAGTGTAAACAACTCAACTAATCCAATTGCTGTGGCTGTGTTCACTGCTCTCAACTTCCTGCTTTACCTTGCTGACCTGGCCTACTCGGCCAGATTGGTGTTTGTCAGCGTCTGAGCTGATAGACATGAAGAACATAAAACAGCAGGGAGCTGGAGGGGCACTGAAGAGCAGAAGATGACGGAGACAGCAATGAAAACAATTCTTATTGTCCTCACTAATGTTGAACCTGATTAAATGAGGAACTTTCCAAATTAAAAGCGTACAGTTGGTCGCAAAAGTATTTAATAACTCTATTTTGTTTGAATTTATTGGATCTAAATAGAATTCTAATTAGACCATAAATAAAAATTCTTCAAAACACTTTATCCATACATCCATCCATTATCTTTATCTACTTCTTCCTTTTTGGGTCACTGGTGTCCATATCCAGCAGTCACCGTGCGAGAGGCAGGGGACACCCTGGACGTGTCTCCAGTCCATCACAGGGACACACAGAGACAAACAACCATACACTCTCTCACTCACACCTAGGGACAATTTAGAGTTACCAGTCAGTCTAACATGCATGTTTTTGGTCTGTGGGAGGAAACCGGAGTACCCGGAGAAAATCCACACAGCATGGAGAGAACATGCAAACTCCACCCAGAAAGGCCCCCGGCCGGGATTTGAACCGGGGCGACCTGCTCACATTTTTTTATTTATTTATTTATTTGATCCAAGTTTTCTCCATTCTACTGCATTAATCTGTATTGTTTTTGTAGAAATATTAATTAAATTGTTTTTTTTTTAATCCAGGCTGTGGCCACAATATAGAGGGGGTAAATTCTTTTGCTACCAACTGTATAGCATGTGTATACTTCACAATGCTGCAGTATTTATCTTGAATTTCTGTCTAAAGCAAAGATTACATTAATGTCCGCTTTTGCTTCACAGTGTGGCAAAATGAGAAAAGAGACTTGGTAGCACACTGGAAAACAAACACCCACCGGTGTGCACTGTCATCATAAACCAACATGAAAGATCTGTTAATCATGATTTTTACTGCCATCAGTATTTAAATGTTGGAAAAGATGTTGTTTGAATAAATAAAAATGTCAAAGTCAGTGAGATCCTGATTCATGCTCAATAATCCAGGTAGAAAATCCAACAAAGTTAAATCAGGTCCTCTGGACGGTTTCATGAGCTGGTGGAGAAATGAGTGCCCAGGTGTTCGCAACTTTTTCTAAAAAGAAATGGAGGAAGTTTTCACACAGTTCCAGAGGTGAAGGTTACTAAGGTGTAGAACTGAGTTTAGGGTGGAAAAAAAGAAGCCGGGGGTTGTGGGAGTTTGAGGCAATTATAGCATAAAAGTATTTAAATTTAGCAGCTTTAACCGCCGCCAACTCTCCCTTAACATTTGAAAAGAAACCTGCAGCCGGTATTTCCTCCACCTGCGCTCTGCTGTCTTACGTTGCTGTCTAACAGCTTGAGTGATGTCCTTCAGCCACGGTTCTGATCTAAGTTTTGTTTTTCTGGTTTTAACGGGAGAAACATGGTCCAGAACATTTAAACAGAGTTGAACTGGGAGGTTAGCTCCTCTGTGTTAAGAGACACCGAAAGCTGTTCGATCCTCTCGGAGTTAAAAGCTTCAGTGAAATGAGCAGCAGTGAAATGAGCAGCAGTGAAACAGTTAATGGCGCGTGTGGTACGTGCAGGAGCGCACAGCTTAGCAGTAGGACAAGGGGGAAGAATTCAAAAAACACAGGCATGTGGTTTGAAAACACATTGTCGCCAATTTCCAAATTACAAATGGAGACATCACGTGTTAAAATGAAGTCCAGCGTATGTCCATGTTCTTGGGTGGGACCGTTTACCTGCTGAGATAAATTAAAGGAGTCCAATAAATCTAGAAAGTCCTTCACTAATGGCTTCTCCTGACAACACACATGAATATTAAAGTCCCCAATGATTAAAACATGATCGTATCTCGGTGTGATATCAGCTAGAAAATCAGAGAATTCACTTATGAAATCCTTGGATCGAGGGGGGGGGGGAGACGAGTACACACAGACATAAACACATTTATGTTTATTATTGAACTGGAGAGGGTTGACAATGAGGAGAATGTAGCAATGATCCAGCTTTAAGATTAGCTCCAGAGCTAATTCATATGATTATAGTTGTGATGCTAATCGCATTAGCACCAGAGCTAATATATATAGTAGTTCTTTGTTTATTGCGGGAGTTTGGTTCCGACAAACCGCCCTCCCACCCCCAACAACGAGCTAGTAAGTAAAATCTCTCGGTTCTGGTTTGACCCAGTTCATTTCTGCAGACGTAACCTGCAGCGACAAGCCCACAATCAATGTTCTGAACTCTTAAACCTACTAATTTTAACAACAAGCTTATATGTAGCTAATAAATTTTTCTTACAAGCACGACCATGCTCAGAGGTCCACGTGAGCTGGCTTGGAGCTCTCGGGTTCACTGCTTAGTCTTATGCAGGGCTTAATTTGTAAAACAATTGATGTTGGAACACAAATAGCAGGCGGTCCCGTGGGGGTGGGGTTTACGGTGCGGGGGGATCAGGGGGGTGGGGGGTCCGTGGTTCCTCCCCCAGAAAATTTGGAATAAAAGAGATACCATTTCCTGCATTTTGGTGTATTTTAACAGGTTGTTAAACATTTGTAAACATTTGATTAAATTGATTAAAAACAGAAATGATGAGGCTCAATGAAACTAACAGCCTGTATAAATAAAGGTTGAATTGAAATTACTATTTTAGAGAGCAGTGAATTATAGCAGCTCCGATTCTGTCTAGCTCCCCCCCCTACACACACAAACTTCACTGTCTGACCCGAACTCTTCTCAGATGAATTCAGTCCTGCATGTTGTTCTGCTCCAGTCTCTATCACCGCTGTCAGGTGATTCAATTCTCAGTTGTCAGCTAAGGATAATTCACATTCATCCGTTTATTTTAGATAATAAATTGGACTGTCCTTTTGACATTTTGATCGCTGTTATTTTGACTAATTTTGAAACGTAATGTGACTAATACACATCAAACATCCATCCATCCATTATCTTTACCCGCTTATTCCATTTTTTTGGAGTCACGGGGGTCACCGGTGCCCATGTCTAGCAATCACTGTGCGAGGGGCGGGGTACACCCTGGACGGGTCGCAAGTCCATCACAGGGCCACATAGAGACAAACAACCATTCACTCTCTCATTCACACCTAGGGACAATTTAGAGTTACCAATCAGCCTAACATGCATGTTTTTGGACTGTGGGAGTAAACCGGAGCACCCGGAGAAAACCCATGCATGCACGGAGAGAACATGCAAACTCCACCCAGAAGGGCCCCCGGACCGGGGTTTGAACCAAGGACCTGCTCGCTGAGAGGCAGCAGCTCTACCAGTTGCACCACCGTGCTGACCACATCAAACATTTCACTCTTATTTTTTTTTTTACTTTAAGCTTTTTTATTTATTATCTTGAAATGTATGCAGGAGTTTTGACACATTGACAGTTGGGCACGCTCTACAGAGCTGTCTGGAGACGCTCCTGTGCGTAAAACATGCATTGTCTGCAGGGCGCACAGCTGAGCAGGTGAAGCTGACACCCCACCCACATAAAAAAATCCAGTAAATACAATGAGTGGTTAGTGCTACGTTTGTGCCGTTAAAATGTTTGTTTGCTGCTTTGGTTCTGAGACACATCTGAAGTTGGATGAAGACGCTTCATCCCTGCGGGACATGCGATCAGCGTCTCTGCTGGCAGCAGCGTGTGCGTGAGCTTTTGCTCCTGATGCAGCAGTAACATCCACACAGACATGGACAATGTCTCCTGTCATTGTATTTTTAATAAATAATCAAAATAAAAATGCGCAATGACTTTTTTGGGCGGAGATATGAGCTGACAGATCCGATTGAACAGTTGCCTGAATGTACACGGTGAAAATGAGGGAGTTCCCGGATCTTGTTTCGGCAGGATCTGGCTCAAATTAACCACTGGTCTTAAGGTCCAGTTCTGGTCAGGTTCAGTGCAGCTCTTGAACGGCGAAGCGTATTTGTGGGAGAGGCAGATGTCGGATGGCCGGCACAGGACCGTAAGTGGTCGATTTGAGTCCAAGTATGGATAAAAAAAAAAGTCCAGATGGGCTCCAGAAACAGTTCCAGATATTTCGGCATGCATCCTCGTTTATAAGGCCTTGTGGTCTGGCTACCAGCTCTCAAGATTCACCGATGGGTCTGGAGGTCTGGTTCTGCTCCATTTCAGATCGGGTTCAGTGTGTTTTCTCTGCATCCGCTGGGCGCCGATCAAATCAAAACTTTTTACCTCTGGTTTTTCAGAAGGAAAACGGGGTTTCTGGGTGGGGCCCTGTTGCCTTCTGGGAAATGTGGTCGTCATGAGCGAGAATAAAGTGTAGGCTTACTGAGAGAAAACTACAAAACGGTCATGCCAGTCCAAAGTATTTTATTTTTTCGTTAACTTTTTACTGTACATTATCAGGTACTGTTCCAATCATGCGAGTAATCTTAAAGTTGACAGTCGTGTCAATTTTTTTTCAGTACAACATTATTACTGTACGTCCACAAAACCACAATGGAGCGAGTCCAATGAAGTCAAACCACAAAGAAGCAAGGGACTACTGTATACAGCATATATAGCGTTAACTCCAAAGCTAATAGATAAATGGCATTAGCCATGCATATGCAGCTAATATATTGAGCTAATAAGCATCACAAGTTGATCACATTTGATTGATTTGACCATATATTGTGCACAAGACTAAAACAAAATACAATTTTATTGTCTCGTGTTATAATTTGTAGCCTTGACTCCTTTTGTTTTAGTTTCCACTACAACCCATAGACATAAGTGCCCCAGAATTAATTTCGCTGGTAAAATCAAGGAGGTGTCTTTATGTATCAAATGTAATTAACATATAATTTGTTTAATTGGGTATCACGAGTGACAAGCAACAACTTTTTAGTAGAATAGAGAAATAACATATTGGGGACGGCACGATGGCGCAGTTGGTAGAGCTGTTGCCTCTCAGTGAGAAGGTTCCTGGATCAAATCCCGGCTGAGGGAACTTTCTGTGTGGAGTTTGCATGTTCTCTCCGTGCATGCGTGGGCTTTCTCCGGGTACTCCGGTTTCCTCCCGCAGATCAAAAACATGCATGTTAGACTGATTGGTAACTCTAAATTGTCCCTAGGTGTGAGTGACAGAGTGAATTGTTGTTTGTCTCTATGTGTCCCTGTGATGGACTGGAGACCTGTCCAGGGTGTCCCCCACCTCACTCACAGTGACTGCTGGATATGGGCACCAGTGACCCCCATGACTCGAAAAGGAAGAAGCAAATAAAGATAATGGATGGATGGATTCAAGGGCTAAAATGTGCAAGTAGTCAGAGATCTCTTTAAAAAGCTCCACATTAAACAATAAAAAAAACTAATGGTCTTTAAAGTTAAGTAATTATAACTTTTAGACATCATACATGTGTTTAAAGTTGCGTTTTAATTGCTAAATAGTTGAGTTATAATATAAATGTGATTTTTCTGTTTTAGCGTTTCTGTATTCATAAATTCACATTGCTACACGCTAATATCTTGCAGTAAATTTTAAACATGTTCATATGTGGGTGTAGGCACAGGCCTAGCAAGAATTCAGGAAGTGAAACCCACTGGTGCCCCTGAACGCAGAAAAATATTTCACTCTCAGTCGCGCTGGTACGTTCAGACTACAACTTCTCTCCAACAATGAATGGTAAGTCAGTGTTTTCTGTGAGAAACTAAAAATGATGACTAGAGTGATATTTTATATTTCTGGAGCACTTCTTGGCTGGATGGAATTGTTGGTTAGTATTTTTTCTAGCAGAAATAAGGGTACGGGTTTGTCTCGCAAGAGGGCCTTTTAGTGTTGTGTTATCTTTAAATACACTTAGTGTAACACAATGAGTTTGAGTATGTGAGTGTAAGATTACTGTATACTGGAATTGGTAATGTTACATTAAAACAATATATTGGATCTTGGAAAGTGGGGTTCTGTAAAAAGCTTACGACTTACTATTATTTAAAAAAAAGAAAAACCTTATTTGTTGTGAATGTCTCTTTAAAAACACGTCAGTTTGGAGAAATAGTTTAAATCTGACCAGATTTAAAAATCTATAGTGGGTCATGAATATAACATGAATATTTACAAAAGTGACTAGCAGCTGCTCCTCGTTCCTGCAGGAATTTTGTTTTAAAAATTGTGTAATGTGAAAGGGATGACCGTGTAAAGATGTATAAAATAGCATTTACATCACCTGCAATAAAAAGTTTGAGATTGAAGTTGTTTTAAATTGTCAGCGACACACTTTGGTTTTTGCTCTGCACCAACTAGCCATTATCTTGTCCATCGAGTCAGAACTAATGCTGTATCCCTTTGATTTCAGATGTTAGAAATAATCTGGGATTAACGTCACACCTAATTTAACTGTGTTCAAAATGCAACTTCAGAAACCAGTGAGATTTGTAAAAATGCTGTATGAACAGTCTAATATATATATATTTTTTTGCAATACAAGTTGTAACAATTTATTGTTGCAACAGTTGCCAAAGGCTAGAGATGAAAAACTCAATTATACATTTAATAATATTAATACAATGTTTCTTGGAGGAGTGAGTGAAAGTGAGGTAATCGAAGTAGTTAAAAAATTAAAAAATAAGAAATCCAAAGACTGTAATTATATTGATATGGCTATTGTGAAAGAAGTTATTTATAGTATTATTAAACCTATCACCTATATATGTAATAGATCATTCTTAACTGGAGAATTTGATAAAATGAAAGTAGCCAAGGTGTTTCCAGTCCACAAAAATGGTAATAAGCAAAATGTAAAAAATTATAGACCTATTTCATTGCTACCACAGTTTTCTAAAATCCTGGAAAAAATATTCATAAAAAGGCTGGACTCCTCTCTTAATAAAAACAATATATTAAATGAACACCAGTACGGCTTTAGAAACAACTACTCCACAACTTTAGCTGTGTGGAGTTTGTGGAACACGTTGCTGCAGCAGTTGATCGGAAACTTAATACAGTGGGAGTGTTCATTGATTTAAGTAAGGCGTTTGACACTATTGACCAT